TTGGTGAATCATTAATAAACCTGGCCTTGGCACTTGAAGATTGACCGAACTTTGGACCAATACTGACAAACCAGTGATTGGCTGCCCCCGTATTGGACCAAACTTGCTGGAACGTTAATGTGCCTAGCCTTAACATTGGAAGATTGACTGACCTTGGGACCAAGACAATGCTTAGTTTCCCACTACTGGTCCAGGTTTGGGCTTGTCGTCAAGATTCCTACATGGGCGATTAAAATATATTTGAAATTAAAAAAATTGGTTGTTGATGGTGATTTTAATGTTGGCAGAGGCGGAGGTGTGATATCGTTTGACTAATGAGAGAGAGACAATATTTCTTTGGAGGGGCTGGATCATCTATTTGAACTCTGTCCCTATTATGATGATAGAAACATGGATATTGTTCCTGAAATTCATCTTCTTTTAAATATTCGGGCAGCTTATTCCACGCACGGTAACCACTCCAGTAACTAACGTGAACTAATAGATATTGTCTAGACAACATCCCATTAATTCGATGTTATATATCTTACCCTTTTGACCATTATTTATTAAAACATAGGAAGACATGGATAATTCCAACAACTGTCTGTTTTCTAAAGCCTCGTACGCACTTTACGATATTTCGTCGGTCCGATTTTATTGCTTTTGTCATGTCATGATGTAGCAGCTTTGCGCACAAATTAATTAATAAGGTAAACAACCTACATAATTATAAACTTATTATTAAGTTATTCCTGTTTAAAGACACTTATAAAAAGTACCCGATTAATTGTCATATGATGATGGCGGGGATGTTGGAGATAGTACTGGGGTCAATCTTGTGCTGGATTGATGCAGTCTCATAACGTGATTGCCATATATCTTGATAGGAATGATGTAAATGCTGTTGGGAATGTGTGTGAGGAATCATTTGTGAATATGGTGAGGATTGGTGTGGTTAAAGATACCCATTTGAAACTCTAGTCTCTGCTTCGGTAAAGTGACAGATGAGGCAAAAGGCTTTCCAGAAAGGTCATACGATGATTCCTTTTTTCTCCTGGTTTTCTTAGTTCGTTCAGTATTTGTTGTTCAACACTATCCAGTCTAGCCTTCTTACGTTTTGCAGAGGTGTTATTTTTAGTCCAGGATCCTTGGTACATTTTTACACTTGATTACTATCAAGCTAATTTTCCGTGAGTAGCTTCATTTTGATGAGACGCCCAACAACTTCTTGTAAGAAACTTCGATTGTGGTGGCTAACAGAGGTAGCAAGGTTTGATGATTCTCAAAAATTTATTACTAACTGGGGTTGTTTTTTTTTTAACCTCAAGATAATTATTTAATTATTCGAAAAAATATTCGTCCTACAAAATACCGATAACGAGGTCATCATAAATGATTACTAAGCAGCACATTTTTTCTTTAACTTGGTTAATATTTATGTAATTTAATAGTCACATTGTCCTACAAATTGCGTGGTACGATCTCCCGGTCCTACGCTCAGAAATTGTTAATACCACAAGACCATTTTTCTCATTACTAGCTGTAGGACAAAAATATTACATAACAAGTTAGTGTGTTCTCTGCCCAAATGAAACGTCCTACAAGAAAACAGGTATGTGTCACTAGTCCGACAAAAATAATAATTTTTTCGTTTGTCAATTTGTAACATCGCTGAGCTTGCATACGACCTAATTAGGTTATTTAGGCGCCCAACATATATGTATATATACATACAGGGTGTCCCAGTTATAATAATTAAAAAAAAAACATGGTTTCCTGATACAAAATACAACAAAAAATTGTTATAGAATTTTTCAATCGACTGACAATTGAGCTCGCAAATCGTCTTCGTAAATTTGAACGTACAATTTGTTTCATTACGGGCCTGGATCTAGGCTCAGCTGATCTAGTGTGGATGTAACAAGTACCTACCGGGAAGAAGCCCAATGCACTTCCATCTTGTAAAAAAAAGTGAAAATGAAAAAGAAAAGCGTACCTTTTATAAAAAATGTTGAAATTGCCCGCAATTCGCTTCAATGCAATACCAACCCAATTGCTGCGAATTTTGGCCCAGATACCGGGAGAATTTCGAATTATACGAAAGGCATTGGTAATGTTATTACGAAGTTCATCTACAGTGGTAATAGATGATGCATATACCAATGCCTTAACATGTCCCCACAAATAAAAGTCCATTGGTGTGAGATCGGGTGAACGGGGTGGCCATGCTACAGGACCAAATCGACCTATCCAACGTCTGGAAAACATTACGTTTAATTGCTATCGTACTTGATGCGTGCTGTGGGGGGTGCTCCATCTTGAAGAAACCACAAATTTGCCCGTACAGTTAATGGAATGTCCTCTAATAACTCCGGCAACACGTTCTCTAAAAAGTCGCCATACATGTGGCCTGTTAGCCTACCATTAATAAAGAAGGGACCCAGAAGCATATCTCCAACAATACCGGCCCACACGTTTAATGAAAACTGATGTTGGAAATGGGTTTCCCGAATGACATGTGGGTTTTCGTCTGCCCAAACATGCATATTGTGGAAATTAACGCTTCCACCACGCGTTAATGTCGCTTCGTCAGTAGCGCATACATAGTACGGAAAGTTTGATTCACGTACACATTGTCGCAAAAATCACCGACAGAAACGTCGACGTTGCTGATGGTCTCTTTCAAGCAATACCTGAACGGACTGACAATGGTACGGGTGAAGAAGTTGGTGACGTAATGTTCGGTGTACAGTAGTCCGAGATACGTGTTGTTGGAGTGCAATTAGACGAGTGCTACTCATGGGGTCATCATCAATAACTTCTAGGATCGCTTGTTCGTTATTATTGTTGTGTTGTCGTTCACGGCCTTCAGCCTTCGCGATAACTCTTGCGGTATCCCGTAAACGTTGCACTACACGCACTATTGTTTGCGGGTGTGGTTGACATCGATAAGGCCACCGTTGACGATATACTGGACATGCCGCGAGTGCATTTTCTTGCGCTGCACCATAACACAACACCATGTCTGTAAACTCCACAAATGTAAACGGTCTATGTTCAATTTCCATCGTACGTTTGGAAGTACACAATCCTTTAATTAATAATAACATTGCATTAATTCGTAACTTAATGACAATTGTACATTAAAAGGCTTTAACATACTGAATGCGAAAGAAACTTACCACCGACTGAGGGTTGAATAACAACCGTACTGGAATACACTATCACACTACTAATTGTCCTTATTGTCTCTTATAAAATACCCACTAAATAAATAAAGTAACAAACAAACGACTAAATTCCACAACAATCCAATGCAAACTGAACAACCTGTTACAAACTATGACATTATGTGTATTTATTTCAGTCGCCTCCAGGAGGGCAATTATACGAGGTTATACCAGTATTTAGCTTTTTACATTTAAGTAAAACAAAATAACCAACAGACTTCTTCTGGGCACATCCTTGTATTACTCCACGTGGGGTTAATGAGCCATGTCAGGGAAAACTAACGCCAGAATGAGAAATTTAACACGTGTAGTTGGTCAAAGTAGGTATACATCTTATCTCAACTGTTATCCATAACACATAGTTTTGTTTTCGTACTCTTGTACGTTATGTTACAAGCCTCTACCAAACGCTGGGTGGCCAGGGTTGTTTGTGAACCACTTCTAAGTATTCCGTAATCGTTATAATTTCTTTTCGGTTTAAAATAACATAATACTCGTCGTCATGGGCTACATTAGGTCCACTTCAGTTGTACGATCATGGGATTATGGGGGCCTACGCTCACACGTTCTTTACCATGCTTGTCAATCTACGCAATCAATCGTTTTTTGTTTTCCGACTTTTTGGTGAAAACTGATATTGATAGGTACATCTTGTCAACAGAAATAATTCATTTCCACCTACTTTTGTCAAGCACTTTATCAATGTCAAGGTCAATGCAAATTTGTTGATTAAAAATGATTTTTCGTTTACACATTGGGGCACAATTTTCGTTGTGATAGGCACGTACTTATTGTAACATATTCAGTCATGTAATGGATCTTAACGCGAGTGCATTTCCTTCGGCTGATCCGTAACTTAATACCAAACATAAACAATAACATTACACCAAAAAGCAGCTGATTCCGACCTACTGAAGGTGAATCTTTCTACGATCAGCTGGCAACCGTAATTAATTTGCGATTGTGCAGGGCCGGCATCAAAACTATTATAATTTTATGATTTTTTTTTGTTTCAAAAGTCAAAAGTGTTATAACATTTTATGTTCGAAATGTCCATAGGAACCTGTGGTATAAATATTAATTATTATAACTGGGACACCCTATATATAGCTACAAAGGTTTACTGAACCTCCGCTTCTTTAAGAGGCTACCAGACATCCACTTATATACTCGAAGTATAAATATCGTTACTGCTAAAGGTTTAATACGCTACCACTATCTTCATAGATTAACTAAGAGTCCGTTATATATTTTTAATTCTTGTTTGTATGTATATGAAAGTGAGCGTCCATTCTACAAACATAATGTAACTACTGAACCTCCAGACACAGTTGCCAGTTGTCGCGCTTTCGACACGTTTATAGCGTCATGTACTAAAATGACCTTATTATACCATTATACCACCAAGAAAGGAAAAGTTTCGCTTTAGTTTAAAGAATCTAATAATATTTTCTAAATTATTGATGATGTAATTAAGATAGAACACAAAAACTTAAATATGCGATAAAACCAAATAAGTTTCTTTCCGCAAAATTTTATGGAAACTTAAAGCTTATTTTGTTTTGTTTCATATTTAGGTTACGAATTGTTATTGTTGGTTCTGGTAAATAAAAAACAAGTATTTCAGTGATGTATATATATTAATAAAATATCTTGCTACTACATACTGTTCTTGTCACCCAGAAAAATACTCAACGCAAACTTTAAGTTTAAATATAAATAAATAGGAATTCAAATAAATTTAGACAAATAATGAACAGATTTTGAAAACTCTTATGAACCAAACTTTTATTTTGCATACAAGTTACACACGAAAACTTTAATAGTTTGCCAATTCCTATCTTTAAAAAGTAATGGGTACTTTTCAAATAATTTTACAATTTCATTTTTCTTAGGAGGAATTTTATGTGTTATATGTTTTTTGAAAAACTCTTTTGCGGCCTGTTTTTCTTCGCTAGACCATTTTTTAACACCCTTTTCTTTCTATTTCCAATAGTTCCTATCTTTAAAAAGTAATGGGTACTTTTCAAATAATTTTACAATTTCATTTTTCTTAGGAGGAATTTTATGTGTTATATGTTTTTTGAAAAACTCTTTTGCGGCCTGTTTTTCTTCGCTAGACCATTTTTTTAACACCCTTTTCTTTCTATTTCCAATAGTTCTCCTTTCTTTCTTGCTTTCACTCCTATCAGTGTTTTCAGTTTGACAATGGCTTTCTTCTTGCAGCTCTTCTACTTCGTCTTCTGAACTGCTATCAACAGCTTCCACTATATCTTCTTCAATGTCAATTTCATTAAGATTACGTCCTTTGTATTTATCAATACTGCTACTTTGAGCCAGATGTAAAATTTTAGAAACTTTTGCAGTTTGGTATACATTAGACGGTAATCAGTACCATTCTGTGTGCGTTTTCATTGTGCGCCCCATAAATGATGCCAATTGTTCTAAGTCTTCATTACCCATGATCTGCCATCAGAGTATGGCCTTCTGCTTGAGGACGTGAGCGTATCAAAGTGCCAGTTTTTGTATTGATATGACAACGTTTGGCATGTCTTTTTAAGTGTTTTTCTTGCGTAATATCCCTTACAATATGTACAAGGAAGAAATTCACATGCTGTTTTCTTATTTTCACAATCGCTGTCTGTGTCTTTTAAAAATTCCTCCCTGTGTTTTTCCTTCTTTTCTTGTACTGGTATTGGTTCACCTGAACAAAAGTCTCCTTCTTTGCGGATCTTGTCTGTTATTTTTTTTCATTCGGGATTACCTTTTTCTAGTGACATAAACTTCTATACCTCAAACTCATCGCAGTGTTGTCGTTCTAAGTGTCTTGCGAAATTATACACTGGTATATCACAATAAGAACAATTGTGTTTTCTTTTTATTTTCCTATTTGTACTTAGTTTTGGCCTATATAAAACTCCACCGATATCGGATGAAGCCTTACTTGTACTTGGATAAGAGTAATTCTGCTCCCCACTAACGATATTTTATTCAAAATTGTTTATTAATTCCTGAGGTGAATAGGTGTCAGAAGGATCAACGATAGTTATATTTTGATTATTATAATTATCTTTGTTAAAAGACACAGGCTGAAGGTAGTGAAAATCCACAATTTCGTCATCTTCTTCAGTATCTGTTGGGGGAACAAAATCGGAGTCTGAATCTCCATCGTTATAAATAATGGACTCTTCATCCGAAGGATCTAAAATAAAACTAAAGAATATAAAAACAGAAAAACAATTGATAGCCGGAGATTTTTACTGAACTCTATTTTCTCTTTGTAACAAAGACATTCAAAAATAATGTTTATAATGAATACTCCAATTGGAGTTTTCGTTTTTGGTAAATTTTTAACATAAATTAATTTTGGTTAAGTGAAGTTTTTGGTTTGATTTTGCTTTGATTGTTATTAGTTGTCACTTGTCCGAGAACAACTTTTATGCTTAGCTATTTTAAACGGTAAGTTTAACACAATCTGCATAAATTAGTTTCGACAGAATGCTAACCAAGTATAATTTATGGGGTAATAATTTATTGGGTATTTTAAGTAAAAATTCAAAATTTTTGAAAGTAAACAATAGGAAGAATCGATAAGGATCGAAAGAAGAGAAAAAAGGAATCGAATGAAAAAATAAATCATGGTATAGGTGCCATTTGAAAAAACGAACCTATGCGTGCTTGAAGTTTTTAAACCTAAATATGTTTTTTCTGAACGCCCTGTATAAATTGTTAAGTACAATTTTGTCAAGGCGTTAGCTTTGATATTCAACTATTATTGGTAAAAATGTCAACACTGAATCATATTTTGTTAAAGTTATGATTTTTCATAATTTGGGTTGCTGTAGCGCCTTTTTTTCTATAAATTAAATTATCTCAGAAACTGCTCATCGTATGTATAGAAATTGATTAACAAAGTTACTTTAAAATTTTGCGTAAAAAACAAAGTTGATATCAACTTCCCGTATTAGCGGAAGTGGAGAACTGTTGAAAATGTTTTAGTTATCCCCCCTCTAATCTGTATCTGTAAAAAATTGGTTTTCTAATATATAATAAGAATTATTGTGGAAAATTATTTTTTAAATTCAGACTGGTTCAGGACTAACCAATACGTATAAAATGTTTAATGTAAATTTTAAAATTTGGAAATTCTGTATCATTTATTAATGGTATGGCATACACTGTGTCCTAATTTTGGCATTCAAACTATCATTTATGAGGAAATCGAAATAACCAAAATTTTACTGTTGCAAGAATAAAATGGTATCCCAATTTTCATAAATTTTCTTTTAATTATTTATCATTATTATATGATCAATTTATAGTATAACTTACCCTTCTCATTAAGTAATTCTTTGCAGCTGTTAACAATTCGATGTNATAGTATAACTTACCCTTCTCAATAAAGTAATTCTTTGCAGCTGTTACCAATCGATGTGTACGTGCGTGGAAAGGTGTCATCGCACTTGAAATTATAAAATTTCGGAGATCACGTCCACCGACTCAAATAAAATATTTATGTGTCAGAACTCGTTTCTTCTAATTAAATGCGTGGTTGTCAAACGTTTGGACGCCCAGTGAACTTTTAATGTTATCGGATGCGCAGTAAACAACTTAAAGTATAGATGCAGTGTACGTGATGCGTATATGTGAGCAGAGCTTGTGGCGGAAAACGCTTGAACCAAATTTTATACGGAAGTCGTAAATCAGGTAACTTGGCGTCCTGGTCAATTTGCCGCCAAAAGGTATACAACCATCCTTATAGTTATTTAACGGTTTTTTGGGATGGGGTTACTGAGCCTCCGGATATCGGACGCTCAGTGACACCGGAGGCTCGGTGAACCGTAATTTTTACGTGGCTGGAGTCCCGCTCATACCGCACACACATATATANAAAAATTGAACGTTTATTATTTTACGATGCACAAAATGTACAAAGTCTAGTCTAAAGCTAGAGTGACTTAACAACGACGGTTTACAACATTTTATAATCTCGGTTTTACATAGTCAGCAAAATGCTACTTTTATGTTTAGTTATATGGCTTATCCTAACATCTAACACCTCCCATGCTAAGTTGAAAAACTAAATTTTAATAGTTTGGTTTTTCAATAATATGACGAATAAAATTGAATGATTAAAATTTACTATTCTAATTAATATTGGGAATAGCTGGTGATTTAAATTTTCTTGTGGTAGGTCTTAATTCCATAGATGGTTTTTGGGCAGGCATCTCTGATGATGATTGTTCCATTCTTTCTTCGGTGGATAATTGTTGTCGTACCACAGTTTCTAAAGGTGGTTGATGATTCAATCTTCGGCAACTAACAGGTCAATTGAAAAGTCCCCGGCCTAAAATAGTAAAATATATTTTATTTGCAAAATTCGTTTTTTTTATTCAACATAATTCCATTTAAGGGTGATACATTGATTATAGCGATCCTCCAACTTTTCGATACCATTTTTGTAGTACGATTTGTCCTTTGCTTCAAAATAGGCCTCAGTTTCGGCGATCACCTCTTCATTCGACGAAAATTTTTTCCCAACGAGCATTCTTTTGAGATCTGAGAACAGGAAGTAGTCGCTGGGGGCCAGATCTGGAGAATACGGTGGATGCGGAAGCA